CCGCTGCACGCCCTCAATCTTAGACGATTCGAAGCAACTGATGATGCAAAAATACGCATCGCCTTGTCAGAAATTTCGAGTACATTCGAAGTTCTTTGCTCTCGTCAAGGGAAACCAGATTTGGCGAACAATCAAGAATTGATATCGCCGCAATGATGTCCGGCCCTTTACCTGAGGCGGTGAAAATAGTCACCTTCGAGAAGGGTCTCTGAATGGGTGCGGCCCGCACCGAGACTTTCTGCTTCTACGCCTCACCGTTTGAGGAAAATGTGAGCATGACATTCAATGCGGAGTACAACTTTATTGCCGCAGGAGCCGGATGGTAATACTAGAAATTGTACTTTGAGAGCGTAGTAGAGACGATAGATATTAATCATGCTGTGGGATAGCGAAAAACGACAGTAAGAAATTCGATGTACTCGCGTGTGTTTCATTTGTAAGAAATCTCAATTGCCGTAACCTGTATGCCTCTTCGCTCTCAACTAAGAGGTACGAAGAGTCGGGCTCCCTTTCTAGGGCGGACGACAGACCTTCACATTAGAACGTCAGGTCAAGTCCCAGCGGCCTATTAATAGAGAATCAGGCTATTTTGAACTCGTGGATGCCGCGGTCAGCGAGACCCTGCCCTCAATAGGGGGTGACTCGTCTTAAGATAGGTGAGAATCACAGCACAGGGTTGTTGGTTGTTAACATTACCGTCTCGGGCTCTGTATCGCTGTGAAAGTGTTTGATGTATTCAGAAGCGTCGGTGAGTTATGTTCGACGTGCAACTGTAAAAAAAATAGTTAGCACGCGGGTAAATAGGTATGTCAAATACGGATACGGCTCATGCAACGGGAATTAAACATTCCCTGGTAACAGGGGTGTGTGTCACGCCAGATGAGCATGGCGTGACCACACCCAAACAAGAATACGGTACATGTATTGAGATGTTTACTATACATATTTAGGAAAACCTATGCATTTAAAATCAGGAGGCTTTGCCGCAGATAAAAATTAAGAAAGTCAGTTGTGAATTTGGACCGAAGAGTTAATTAGCCTTGGACTAAGGCTATAATTACTCTTGGAGTAAGCGGATCGCGATCCGCTAAACTCGAACTTGTTCTGAGTATAGAACGAGAGGTCGGTTACCTAACTTTCGTTTCCTCAAAGCGCAAATCTGCGGCAGCCCCGCTGCAACTCATGTCCGTATTGCGGCGGAACACTAGTAAACGTTTGGAGGTCACGTTTGGTTTTTAGGTAAAGTTGAGAGCACAAACTTTTATCTCGTCCAAAAATTGATGTGAGTTCCGATGTCATCCTGGTTGGAACGCCGTGTGCCATAACTCGATCGAAAGTCACAGTTATTAGGCACTTGGATACTTGGAAGTCATGAATCTAATTTTCGAGGAAGCAGGGCGTATTATACCTGGTCACTAAGCAAAAAAGCTTCCATGCAGGGTATGGTTATATCCGAAATTGATAGCAACGATACCGCAATGCGCTTTGGGCAGAGCTCGGAAGACAGAGGTGGCAGCAGGCGTGTTCTCACAATATTTTTAGAGCAAGTCTTTGTTGTTTTCCCCAGGTCGAGAAGGCAGGGAACAACTATAAAGTGGTATACCCTGTGTCAATGCCGATAAAAAACAGAATCTGGATGTCGAAGTCTCCCATGTTAGAGCCGGTGGATTTGGTGGGCAAGGCCCTGAAGCTAAGAAATGGCTCAATTTTGTCGCAATGTGACGGTATCGATGAGTTAGTACTACTGTATGAAGTTCCCACCGTGAGCAGAAGTATAAATCCACGGTAACAATGACTGACTGGAGTGACTGGTGTAGTCCTACTTTTGGTATGTCTAGCCTCACTACATGCGGCAAACGATTATTCTGAGCAATTTGTAAATCATGTGTTCGTGGAGCAGGAAGACGGTGCAGTCAGCGAATTGGCTATGTCGATACCGGAAGAGAAGCTGAGGACGTCATGTCATGAATAATTCCGCCGTTGAGGTGTTTTGCAAATTACTATATGCAAGAGATGGGAAGGTATCGTCAAGAAGTATAAAGACATTTGTCATCATTTGTTTTTAAGAATAATAAGGCGTGAAGAACACTCGCTTTATATCTGAATTGGGGAGCTCGTAATGAATTCGACCTTGTCCAAAGCCAAATATTGCATCACACGGCAATAATCCTTACCAAGGAAGCAGTGTGGCATCACTGCCGCTTCATCCTGAGCGAATGACGAAGCAGTTTTGGGGATAAAAACGGTCTTTTTACATGGCACCGACTATTAATTTCCGAAACGTTGAAGGGCAAGTAGGAATTTTGTGCATGTCATAGTATGCTAAACGCAGCCACAATTTCGGTGTAAATGCCAATTACTAGAAAAATTATTATCAGCAATGGTGGCTGCACTTTGTTCAGTGGCCTTGGCCTAGTTTTGGTAATTATCAACTGCTGATGAAAGATTATAATATATATCTTCCTGCAATGTGTACACTGAGCGAGATTCTCTGGGAGTGGCTCGGATTGCTAAATGCGCTGTTTGATACACTTGAGATGTTCAATCGTTGGTGACCCAGCGTTTCAAATCACATCGTAGTATACACATATTTTGACAATCAATTCGTCCATTATAGTGCAAATTATGCGAATTCGGATGTGGAAAGCAATATCGAGAATCTGCGAACAGTGCTCGAATGTATGTACTTGAATCAGCTATATGCCAACACAGACAAGCGTGTATCTGGCGCGGACAAGGTTCTTTCTCCCAGTTGCTTTGTTGAGAAGCCTCGCAAAGGTAAATGCCGATGTAGATCGGTCAGTGCCTCCGTACTAAAAGGACTTGTGAATGTTGTTGGATTGGGCCGCGTTGGAGATCTCTCGTTACCACGTCTTGGGATCCATTCAACAAAAAATGAAACGTAGAAAATTTGAGATCAGATGTCCCACTCCGCGCACAAGTTGCTCAGCGAGATCCCCCATGACAATATTCACCCATTATGAAATCTAAGATCAGCTACCCTTGTGGTGCCAGCCGTATCATTTCAGTGACCTCACCGTCTTGCAATTTTTCGGCTCTATGTATCGTCTGTCTGAGGCAGTAAGGGGAGACTGGAGGGAACTTATGTAACCACTTCATTCGCAAGAGAATAATTCGTCGCGTCGCTTGCCCGTGAAGCTTCACTGCTCAGCACGGCGAGCCCGTCACACATTAGTCACTACTCATCAGTACCGGCGCATCGTGACAAGAATATATCGTTCTTCTTATTGTTATAGCTTGTTTTTTCTACTCGGGGATTCCATTTGTTCGTCATCTTCACCGACTCTGGTAGAATTTTATTGCGACGCCCAGTCGCTTTCACTCTTTATTGGACTGGCACAGGAGACTACAGCTCTCACCTTTTCTGAACCGCTCCGCTTGAGGCACAAAATCACGAAATACAATCTATCTCTTCCGCCGCGACATGCCAATGGCGATATGCCAATCGCTCTTTCCTTCTCGTTTTAAGACTGCAGCTTTTATTTTCTGCTTGGAACACTCAGCGTTGCCACTGCAATTAATATTGGTCAAGTCTGAATTCTGCACGGAACGTGTCGCAATTTTGCACCTGCAAAAAACGTGCTTCCACTTTCTAGCAGAAATGTTTCACTAGTCACATCTTCTTTTGAAGAGATATGCATGACGTTAGCTATTTTGACTTTCAGATAAACCATGGCTCATGGATGCCATGCCTGCGATGAGAATGAATTAGAAGTTCAGCTTCTGGACGAGCCAACACTTTACGCTCTTAAAGTCCATCGATATCATCTGGATATAGGAGGTAACCTTCGACATCTTACCCGCAAATTGTCTACTGGTTCCGACAGCCGCACGTCAATATAATTGCGAAACGATTCTGAATCGATCAAAACTATCCTTTTATCACAGAACCCGAGACATTAATATCTACAACTGACAGTCGCAGTATATGAGCCCCCCTCGTTTAGATGGAATCGCTTCTATTGAACTGGCCCATAGAGCACGACCTTCACGAGGAAAATATTAACAAGTCACTTCTCAGTAAGTTATGATGTGCCTACTGGGATCCGACTTGTACATGCGAGGGGTTCGTTGTCCACCTTTGCATGAGGGCCGAACCTTTGTGAACAGCCCAGAGCAACGTAGTTCCACAAAGCGCAGATGCTCCTTTCGCGGTAAAATACACGTTTGCAGTTACCGCGGATCTACTCAGTAGCTAAGTAATTATTCTCTTACCTCTTTATATGCCCAAGGTCCATCGTCTCTGGCACGCTCTGTGAGCCACCATTTTCAGTACCTCATCCCGATCTCGCGGTACGAAGTTGTTTTCCGCATTATATACAGCACCATTTGCATCTCCGAAAGATGTACGGATGAAGCAGAAAGGTCTAGTTGGAAGCCACATGAGTTCAGAGACCCTGCATAAAGATGACAATTGCCACTGACTCCGGGATTGGGCCAGACGTTTTCGCGACGACTAGAGTTCGTACCTCCTGGACATAGCCCATCATTTCTTGCTGTTAGGTGGTGCGAACACAGGCGTGATCTGTCGCTTCAAATTGTCCCACATTGCGGAAGAGTATTACCGAGGTATTGCACGTAAGTGTATATTCTTGCACGCGGCCTTCAAGCTTGAAATTTGGAACCGCAATGCGCTGTCGCCATGTCTGGAGCGTGGCTGAAACCATCCCAATCTCAACTTTCTGAATGAAAGAGATTTCACCGTTTTTTCGCCCGTCAGCTGCAATGATTGATTGAAAAATTTGAAATCAGCAGCAACACTTTTCTATCTCGTTCGCACGATCTGGAGAGGGCTCAAATGAATATCAAACAAACCAATTTACAAAAAGACAACTTGTAACTTAAATTGTACACTATTTTTTCAAATCATTTGACAAAACAGTCGAACTGAACTCCCACTACTTGCTTTCAGTATGCACCCAATCCAATGCACAAGGTATCGATGTGAATAGCTTGCGATCTCACCGCATTGAAGCAGTATGCTCTCCGTCGCAAACTTACCATCTACGACAAATTCCGATGGAACGGACGACAATGTAGCTACGTTTCGACCTGGATCGTCTGTAGCCATGTTGCGACCGCAGCGCGCGTCAGACCAACTCGCTCTTTCATGGTATGGAGGAGTGACCTCGTCCAAACGTTTGAGTTCCTTTCAGCTCCTTTGTGTGTTCTTTCACTCGCTGCTACTTCTTGGAGTAGCAATTGGCATCGTTCTGGCTGCGTATATTTCTGTTGACATGGAGCGCGGCGAACGTCGCGGAGGAGCGCTACCATACATTTTGGCAGCATTTGTAGCTCTAGCTGGCCACGAATTCTCATGGCTTGCATATCGTGTGCATCTCAAGCTTTATATGCCGTTAAAACTGCATGAAAAGCAGACATCGAGGGAAATGTATCGACGTATTATCGCTTATGCAGTCGATGAAGATACAGTAGCTGTCACATCACTTGCCGATAAATGTTGTTGTCGTAGTAACATTGTGACAGCAATGGTACTGTCAGCACTCGGTGCCGGATTAACGGGACTTTTATGCAATGTATCGGGAAGAACACAAATGCCTGTGGTTTACGTCGCTGAAAGTACATTTGTTGGTATCTTTTCGGCAGCCATGGCCCCAAATATGTCGACAGCGGTTTGCGTTCTAATTCGTTATATGTATTTTTTTCTATCATCGTTAAAAGTGGTGTTACGCTCCGACGACGCATTCACGAGTCATGAAAGTGGTTTGGTGTACGATCATGATGGTGAATTGGATAGTCGAAATATCATGGACAGGCATCTGGCTGTGGTAATTGAGCCGTATTCGTTGCTGCTACTCAGTGTGTGCCTATTGCTTATAACTCGTGCTGTAACAAGCAAAGATGTGATGGAATCGACTCTTATGATCGTCCTCGATGTCGCTGGAATGCTTTACTTAAGCTGCTCTGCGGCCGTACTCGGACTCTTTGATCAATCAATTCGAGTTTGCGAAAGTGGGGCATTGGCTGGTTTCTTTGTCATCGTATGGAGTGCTGAGCTTGGATCGTCTGTTACTGTAAGTATTTTGAAGACTGTACAGTCCCCATGGGTTCATCCATTCACAAAGCATGTATCGTCACAGCAAAATGTCGAAAAATTGCTCGGAGCGGTCGCTTTTGCTGTCGGAGCTGCAATTCTCGTATCTCAATACGTTGATTTTAACATGCACAAAACATTTGTTGCGCTATTAAGTGCTGGGGCAGTGATGTGTGCCCATATCGGTAAACTTTTTCTCGTGAGTTTAAAGAAAATCGCCAAAGTGTCATCCACAGGCTCCTATCTTTGTGTGGGTGGCGGCGTACTAGATCGTATCGATACGCTTCTCTTTATGGCTCTGGTCTTTGCTCCCTTCTTTCAACGTGCTGTTTTTAATCAGCCTCAATAATGATTTATCCATGTTCAGAATTAATATACAGTAAGAAACTGCTTATGGCTGCATTTTTCCGAAAACGTAATTCTCATGCAGTATGTTTTTTTCGTCAATGTGCACGTAAGCTGAGTGCGTGTCACGGTTCCTCTTAGCCTCCTTCATCAAGTTGAACTCTTGATATCAGTGATATTAAAGTTACACACGATTGCATTACATATTGATTTGAAATGAAAAGTCTTAGCAATCGGTGAAGAAACCGACTGCCTTCAATCGTGGCCAAGATCTAGAACGACCTGTCTGCGCGGCATGAGAAACTTCGATTAACAGACTCAGTGCTGGACGTGGTACATTAAATTTTCGACTTATTTCTCGTTCACGAGCGCTTTCAAACGCTAGTAAAGTTAATTCTCATACGTGCAAGCATCCGGTGACCGACGAATTTTGCCAGTGATACTGCGCGAATGGCATAGGTAGATATTAGTTGAGTAGAAAGTGATCAGAGGCTCTATAAGGTGTTGAAAATGGCATGGTCATGGTCAAGAGGCTATCAGACACTTTGACAAATGAATCTCACGTTCAACACACAAATTATTTTTTAGTTGGCAGCTACTCTTTTGATCACCAGACCTTGAAACGTCGACTGTGGGCTTGTGAAAAATCTTACACCGGAAGCTAAATATCTTTTGGTCGGAAACACCTACAAAGGTCGATTGCGCACTCAAAGTGATCTCCGTTTCAGTGTGAGAGAGAGGCTCAGTTAAGTCTCTTTGATTTGGTGAAGCTTTGACGGAAATCGCAATGTTCGCATCTCGACCAACGTCGCTCGCTCCTTTCTCATCGAAAAGAAATTCCCAGACAAGTGAGCACCCTCTTCCACTCTATTCACACCTGAACACGTGCACAAAATAGCCGGGGAGATCCACTCCATTGCATTATGATTTCGCTGGCTGGTTGTCGATCAGTGGTGATCAATGTTCACCAAGGCTGAGTCGAAGCCGAGGTAACTTGAAGAACGGAAGTGACATCTCGTGTCCAGAGGCCGACAAATCACAAAATGACAAGCTTCAGGCACTCTTACAAGTAATGCTGTGATGAAATCATCGGTAATAATAAAGTGCTTTTTGGTAGCCTCACAATTGGAGGGCACACGAATGTTTTGCGCATTGCGCTCGATGTAATCGAAGTTGGCGAACGCAGGTAACGGAACGTGGCGCCAGAATGTTGTCGTATTGAAAACCCGAAGCATCTAAGGCTTGAAGTATTCTTCCTCGGTGTCGTGCCGCTGCAAGGATTTGCAATCGAGACGATGGCTGTGGAAACAATGGCATAGAGATTATCGGTGCCATAGACACAGGAATGCGTAATTGAAGGACATCTAACGAATGAGGAAGTATCCGAAGATGGTATTGCGACGGTACATCAACTACACTTTCTATGATATTATACTCTGCCACCGTAATAAAAATCACTTATTGGATTCACAAAAGCTTGACAATCTGAAAGCTACACACGCAATTTTGTTATTCAAAGAAACTGTTAAGCCAAAACCTTTTCGAAAGACTGCTTGCAAGCGATACGTGCTTCAAGTGGTCAACTTGTCCTGATATCAAGGGCCAATTTGGTAGAATTGGAGTATTTATACAACTTGTTATTACTTGGCAGTCCTTAAATATTGCTGTACCATTCATTTCGCAGAGCTTAGATAAGTTTCTTTCGAAATCTGTGCCGCGTCATTTTCTTGGAGTTTTGTGAGACAAAATACCTATGTCCATTTTCGGATGACGTTGAACATAGCACCGCGAATAAATTGACTTAGCAGATTTCGGTCTATGATTGGAAAACCCAAACCTGAAAACAGTATAAATTTTTGTGATACTATAACTTAAATTGTCGAGTGCTTACGATCGAGGTATAAACATACATACTTGATTGTCTCTTACAGAAGAATACAAGCATTTAAGCCATCCAACGATTGATACGATCAAGCCTCAAGGATCGATCGTTTTGAAAACTGCAAAACCAGATCGTTATTGGAATACGCATCTTAAAAAATTAATTCTGAGAGGTAAAAACCAAACAATATTCTACATAATAAAACTTGATAGCTGGGTGTTCAGCATTTAAGGCACTGGTTCGAAAGGGTCAGTAGAAAGAATAATATTGAAAGTTCTAACGAAACTGATATCCGAGAAGAGTAACAACGAGATCTTCAATTTAGCTAATTACTTTACACCACCTGGGTCAATGAAGTTCAAGGAGTATAAAAATCCTGAGCGGGCGTTTACGGTGTGCTATTTAAAGTAAAATAGCTTCCCGAGGAAGCCTGGTGCTAACTTTTGTAATTTCGTGCACTGAAAACCAAGATTATGATCGCGCCAAATTTACTAAATACTTTTATGTTGCTCCTAGAACATGCTCCTAGAACAAAGTTAGATTTACATATGAAATAAGGCAACAATGAATGACTGATTGCGTCAGAAAAATTAACGATGAACGTTTTGGCTTTGGGCTCATTAAAAAAAACACTATTCTTCTCAACGTTTAATAGTCGACAGCTTGTATAAAAACGTTCGCTATCTCATAACAAAAGTTGATGATTGATGTTCACCGCCAGCTTGTGTCAATGATCAGACAGCCTACTACATCCCGGAGTGTGAATTGGATAAGTGAAGCCCAATCGAAACATGCGTCCGACTTTAGGAATCGTAACTTTTAACTTGTGGTTAAAGGCTAAAAAATTTGAAGAAAACCATTGAGACGCATTCTGCAGCCTCATGATTTCCAAGGAAATGACGGCACCATAGTAAATCTGAGACTGAAATGTTTATTTCAGAGACTGTCCTTCAGTATTTCGAAGAGAAATTAGATAAATGAAATTCGCGACACGAAAACTTAATCAATATGAGTATTATTTACCAACACTACATACTGACACATAATGAAATCAATAGCTGCTTTTATGACATTCAACAAACATTAACAATTGCAGCATTGCATGTCGAATTGCTCGGTCATGAGGGAAAATCGACAACCAGAATTTACACCACGACAGCACGAATCTGATCTGCAACGTTGCGTGATTGGTCAAGTGTGACGTAAGTAGACGAAGGTACCCAGTTGTCCGGGAACTTTTCTTCAATGAGAAAGGAGCGAGTGTGTTCAGTCGAGATACGATCATCGCGATTTCCGCCAAAAACAAGCAAAAGAAACGATCCTTCGCCGAACGCTTGACTCAGCTGACTCTCGCTCAAATTAAAACGTGGGTCGCTTTGATAAGTGTTGATTCGAGCCTTGTACGAGTTCCCGACCCCTTGAGCGTCCAAATATCCATCTTTTGCTTGCGTTAACAGGTTCTCAACCAGCGTTACATCAACTACAGCTGGATCGTGTCCTAAGTATGTCGGGAGTCGAGGCAGCGAAATCTGATGGCCATAAGCAGACAGACCGTTGAGTGATATAGTTTCAGGAACGTTTGACAAAAGCACGGCAACGAGATCATCGGACATCATAAAGTGAGTTTTAACTGCATCATTTATGGATGATTTCGAGATGTTTTGTCCGTTGCGTTCAATGTAGCCGGAGTTGGCGAGCGAGTTGAGGGCAGGGCAGGGACCCCTGCGCCAGAACGCCGTCGTATTTGTAAAGCCCGAAGCGTCTAAAGGCTTGTAATATTGGCCTACGCTCTGGGGATAGAACGTGCCGGAGCAAGGATCTGCAAATGAGATGACGACCGCGGCGGTGGCGAGACTGGAAATGACAGAAACCATGGGAAGGGAAATGCGTGCAAGAAATAGAATTCAAGAATGAGAATTAAAATCCAAATCGTCTTCTGGGCAAGTAAGCCCTGACAATGAGATCAGTTATTTGACACCAGTAGATGTTCCGTACGAACATTGTGCTCTTTCTATTGATTCTGTCTTCTATCTGTAGAGTTCACTTTGCCATCCTTCGAGACGGTGTCGTAATAGACGTCATCATCTGATTTATGATGATACGCTTTAGTGTTTTATGGCAGGCTACTGTCGTCTTGTTCTAATGATGCCCTTATATTGTACGGCACATCATAAAGAAATGGAAGTAAAGTGCCTTCAACATCTTTCTGGCTTTATGCTCATATAGATATGAAGTGATGCTTCTCACTGTGCGTTGCTCCGTATGTCCAATTATGTTAAACCTGACCATGGTGCCATAAACATAAAAGAACTTTGGACATGATACTGCGAGCATTTGACATTCAGATTATTTTTGAGCAGCTGGCCAGCTTCGGATCATTTTACGGGGTTCTGAAACTGCTACACTGGCCCCGTTTGTGACTTTATTTGCTTTACTTAAAAATTGTTCTCTAATTTACTACCTGCCAGGTGCCTAACCACGAATCTGGGTTGCGGAATAGTTGTCTGGGCAGTATCATAGTTTTAACTTCTAATGGCCATTTCACTTGAAGAGGCGGAAAAACGAATTTTAGCAGAAGCAAGCATTACTTTTAGAAAGTGGCTCACAGACGAGCTTAATTTCATCTTGACATTGAAGTTGTTGACGATGCAAAGGATAATCAAGTGTGTATAACGTACTCTCGTGGGAATAAATCAAGCTCAGAGCTTACAATGAGGCGGGATGGTGCTATTCTGCTGCAAGGCTTGTTTATTTCAGCTGTCGTCGAGAACCAACCATCTCCTGGAGAAATATGCCTCGCGAAGAATTTACAGCAAGAACTTTACAGCAACAGACAAAAGAATATCATTTTGTTTACATTACGTTCATTAACTTTAAGGATTATCATTTCCTGAGTCATGTGTTCAGTTAGATCGCATCTTTTTTGCATAGCAATACATCCAATGTAGAAAAAATGCACAAAACGACCTTTTCCTGCACACAAGTCAATCATAAAGTAATGAGTGTAGGTCACTAATACCGGTTGTACTACCGATGAATGATTATTGTATGTTTTGCTATTAGTAAATATGGTTTTTATACTACCGAAGACAGAAATGCGTATTGAGTATTAGTAGTTGAATATTTGGGGATGAGTGTACTTGCCAACTGAATCAATTTCTGTGGAAATTTCTACCATCCTGGTATGCAGTGAAAATAGTTCTGATACTTCTGCCTGCTTTGTATCATCGAGTATGACGAGGAAATGAATGTGAACATCTGTTCTTCATCTGAACTTCATAACAGTGACTTCTCAAGCTAAAAAAGAGAAAAGCATCATGTTGGCTAAATTTGTCAAGAAAGCTTTCTCTTGATGAAAAGCTGTGTTGTATACCGGGATGAAAGACGTAATTCTTGATCTTCTAGTTTCTCTTTACTCTACCATCGAATAGTATAACTAAATAGCGGCAGCTGTACCTTCCGCTCACGGCCTCGCATTGATAGTAGATCACCGCTGCAGGGATTGCTGTGCATCTTACACAAGTACAATCTAGCTCAGTGGGTCCGTGTAAGAATCGAACTGAGGTAGGTCTACACGCCTCACCCATGAGCGGAACCGAGAGACTCTAACGAAGCTTAGTATCAATCTACTTGTAACGAAGTTACATTACATATGAAGGCGTGGGTCACACAATTTGGTATGACCACACAATGGTGCGGCTACACCTTAACAAGAAGTCACTACGTGGCTGGGTCAGCCAGTATTTATGCACTTTTATAAGGTTCTTCTATTTAACTAGATAAACCTATAGATTAAAGTACAAGGCTTTGCCGCAGTTGAAACAGGAATATGCAATTTATATTTCGAACGAAAGAGTTTATTTGCCTTGAGTTGAGGTTGTGGTTACTCTTGGAGTAATCGGATTTCGATCCGCTACACTCGAACAGGTTATTAGTATAGACGAAGTTAGGTGACCTTAGCTTAGCTTCCTCTGAGCGATAGAGCTACGGCAGCCCCGATGCACTCACTACTTTCATTCAATTTTGGAAGTGAATATAAATCAAATCATATCTGTAAATTAGTACTGATATAGTATGTAAAAAATGTACGATGTGAGATTAATAACCCACGTGTTCTACAAACATCTCCTTTACAAGTCCCACCGCCCTCATTAGTACCGATATTTTCGCGCCTTCGAGTTTGCACAAATATACGGAAGCGTAATGAAAAGCTCGCACAATCGCACAATAGTGTAAGTACATAGAATACAGCACGTATTACATTACACACCCCCATTTCGAAGCGGACCTCATTCATTTCACGAAGCTGTTTACCAAGATACGTACTCTAAGCTCCGCCACTCATTTGAATTAATTACTTAGTTGTTTCCCGTTTCTCACGGCGAAAGGATTGCGGATCCCGCAGCAAAACTTACGACTACATCCAGCTCGAAAGGTTTTACCTGGATTTAGCTCATGAACCCCAGCTTAACTGTCTACAAGTTCAACGTAGCAGTTTTCCAGGCTTCGTCGCGTCGAAATTATGATGCTAATTTTCTGATGGTTCGCGCTGTACTTAAACGGATCCTTAACACGTTTATGCGTGCGAGCCTTTTGCTCACATTTAGCATGACAAGCACGCGGAGTCGTTCCAAAAGCGCTAACCGATCCAAGAAATCATATTTTCCCATGAGGTTGTCTGCGCTTGGAGCAGCAGCGGTCGGTTTAGTCCATCCTGAACACAACTGAATACTGATAAGAATACCGAAGAGTATTGTGCCCAATTCGCGCACTGGACAAGGAAGACACATCGCCTCACGACTTTTGAGCCGATTATAGTAAGGCAGACGTCCGAAACAAGTGCTGGTTTTGGATGTTTTCGAGAGGTACAGGTCACCGCATGGACATCAATGTAAAATATTCTTGCTGTCAAGAGCCCCGCTTGTCTGTATGAGGTAACCCAGCTACCGACCAGAACTTGACACTAAACTAGAATCACTTGCCGGTGAAAAACGCTGCACACGGCACACTATCTCATGTCCAGGATTATAAAATTGGACGATGCGCCAAATCGCAAGAGGCATTATTGTGAGTATCAGTGAGTACCCGAATATCGGGTCTTATGAATATCACGGAGCTTAAAAATGGAGAGACTCGAGGTGCTCGTGGGCTACTGTGTGCACGTTTGAAAAAAGGCAGTCTTATGATATGAGACAATAAAAGATGTTCCTGATATTAGTCTCAATAGAATTTAATTCATATATATTCCTTAGAAACACTGGAGCAGATTTAAAGCAATGCCTTTATAAAAGGGTCTTGGTTGCACTCCTGTTTGGAGCGCGCAAGCACAACCTCTGTGGATTGGAAAAGCGGACTCTGAGAGTCATAGCTTCCTTTGCGCAATACGTACGGCTAACCATTGCATTCGGTAGTTTTTGTAATCAGCCCCACGACAGAGTTGTGAAAAACTGTGTTCTCAATGAAGATGGAGCATGAGATATCTGAATATCTGTTCTCAAGACGAATCGACCAGCGTAACAAATTTTGTCCATCGTGGGTACCGATGGCATCAAAGAATATGAGGATAGACGGCTAGAACAGTAATAGCTTTCCCAAAATGATTTCCTCGCTTTGATAATGCGCTAGATAGGTCATGTCCGCCTTACGCGGTGCTGATGGGAGGCAAATGAGTTTGACCATGATATCACTGGTGTTGAGAGTCCTAGCTTTTGAGTTCCGGGACGGAGAAAATCTCTATCTATAGAAAAGTTAAGTTGAGATGGCACTCAATTTGACCTTGTATAAAACGGCGTCACAGAATGTCGCGCTGCGATTTCCAAGCTAGTATGTGCGCGAGAGTGGGTGCCTGCGTGTAATACACCAGTAAAAGTAGCAATCATAACATAGAATGATTTGTTGCGACAGATATCGCAGGTTTTTGAGGCGTATTCGGTACGCTCAAATTCTTATCCACCTTTCAAGACCGACTCAGACTGGGGGGCTTTGTCCAGGAGTAAGGAACTTTTATCGCCGCAATGTCTTCAGACCCGTTACCGGAGGGGGGGGGGCATTTTCATTAAATCTCCGAAAGATGCGGTTCCCATACCTTACCCATAAGCGGTGGGTATCGCATTCAATGCGGAGCACAACTTCCGCGCCGCAAGAAAGGGATATAGTGCTGGGAGCCCAGGCTCTTCGGGCACCTAGAACGATGCATCTCAGCCATGTTGAGAAGAAGAGAGGGGGTTCTTCTAGTTGCGGCGAAACGACGTCTCATTAAATCATCTGCGCTTTAAGTGATAATTTACTTCTGGCCGAAGGCACGGAGGGCCGAATTCTCATATGAAGGTGAGTGATAAACGTTTTGCGGGGAAACGTCAAGTCTCAGTAGGCACAGAGCGGCTTGGTCGGAAAAATTAGCTTTATTGAATCTTTTGAATATCGGACCTAGCTTTAAATGGATTAATGCATCTAAATATATTAGGCTATAAGTTTAGGTTTGTCATATGTTTGTATCGGTGTCTTGAGCTTTGTAAAGCCATGGATAGCCCTTAAAGACTGAGAAGCATTGGTACATCGCGCGACTGTTAAGATTATTAGACTGCACGCGAACAAATTTTTTTTGTCAACTACGCAA